GGGCAATGATATTCTTCAGAGACTACATACTGTGGTAAAAGAAAAAGAAGAGTTGCAGCAACTGGAGATTGAACTACGGGCTCAGCTCATTGCAAGATCAGAGATTATGGAAATACGGAATACTTTTGATGCTCAGATGAAAGAGCACGCCAATACCAATGCTAAGTTTCAGGTACTAGAGTCTTTTTTACAAATGTTTTGACTACTGCTTAGGACATTAATTTGATTTACTGATTAAGTCGTTGGTTTATTGCTTCTTAAGGAGCAAATACATGAAAGGGATCAGAAGATTTATGAGTTGGAGAGGAGGATGGAAGAGAAAGAAAGGGAACTGCATGCAATTAGACTGGACAATGAAGCGGTTGTTTGATTCTTCTAACTCTTACTTATGTATCTTATTCTTGTTTCTTTATGAGAGTAAGTGGATATTCTATTAAGTCTAATCCTTTTCATTGAATGGAGCAGGCATGGGCAAAAGAGGATCTCCTTAGAGAACAAAGTAAAGAACTACAAACTTACAGGTTGCTTTTTGCTTTTGTCTCAAGTCCCACTGTCATTTGTCTATAATAATATCTTCTTTGCTGATTGACTAAACCACTTTCTCCTATAAATGTTTTTGTGCAAACGTGGATCACCTCCTATATTAGTTGGATTGTGGTTGTCTTACATTTTTAGTGGTCAAATTGTCTTCTGTGGTGTTTTCTTGTTCTGTAACTGAAGTTTAGAAACGAATTTTACATCTCCTCTGAAAATTGGCATGAAATTGTACTATCAATCTTAAAATGTAAGCAAGACTTGTCAATTTTTAGGAGAGAGAGGGATAGCACTGAAGCCGAAAGATCTCAGCATATTAAACAAATTCATGAACTCCAAGAGCATTTTCAAGAGAAGGAGCGCCAGTTCATGGAATTGCAGGAACAGGTACAATTATTTCTATTAGATTGATGGATGGTGAAGATTATTTTCTTCTTTTCCTTCTTATTCTTCACTTTTTATAGTTGTAATGTGAGACTTATGTTTATCTTTTGATGTTACTAATATAGTTTCATCTTTGTGCCTCATTGAGTGCATTTCTCTATTTTTTAGTGATTATTGTCCATGGTTTGTGAAATTTAACATAAAGTCTGTTGTAGTTGCATGATGGCTTAATTGTGATTGAGTGTGATCAAATGTGGTTCGGACAAGAAAAGTAATATTAAGTTGAAGTTCACACAATAAATTGTAAAATATGACTTAACTTCAACTAAACTACCCGAGGACTTAAGGAAAGTTTGGGTGGTGAGAAATACAGTTCCATAGACATTAATGATGGCTTAATTGTGATTGAGTGTGATCAAACGTGATTCGGACAAGAGAAGTAATATTAAGTTGAAGTTCGCACATTGTAAAATATGGCTTAACTTCAACTAAACTACCTGAGGACTTCAGGAAAGTTTGGGTGGTGAGAAATACAGTTCCATAGACATTAATGTTCTTTTAGCTGAACTAGCTAAGATTCTACCCGAAAGGGACATTCAAAATGGGGGATTCAAGGTAGTTAATACTACCAGATATTGATCATGAGCTCTAGGGAATCCTACCAATTCATGAGACGCACTTAATGCATCTTGAAAAATTCTAATTAAGAACCGCCCCTAAATCGAAGTTTGATGTTAGAAAAGTTAAAGAAAGACAATCCTACTTGATAGAATGATTTTCTTGGGAAAACGGGCATCTTGAAACTCTTGTTAATTTAAAATAATCAACAATAAACATAAAGTTCATTCCACTCTTTAAATCTCATCTTATTGGTTTTCCTTAAGTGTGCTCTCTTGTAGCACATGTGCTCTTCATATATATATATATATATATATA